GTGATGGCACATGCCTGTAGTCCTAGCTTCTTGAGAGGCTGAAGCAGGAGGATGGCTTGAACCCAGGAGTTGAGGTTGCAATGAGCTATGATTGCACCACCGCACTTCAGCCTGAGAGACAGAATCAGACCTGTCTAAAAAAAAAAATTAACTCAAAATGGATTATAAACCTAAATGTAAAATGCAAAACCATAAAGCTCCCAAAAGATAACATAAGATAAAACCTACATGGCCTTGGGTATGACAATGACTTTTTAGACACATCAAAGAAAAGACTGACAAACTGAACTTGAATAAAATTTATGCTCTGTGAAAAACATTTTTGTTAATCCACAGGCTGAAAAAAATATTTGAAAAGACGTATCTGATAAAATAGTATTATCCAAAATATACAAATAACTCTTAAAACTCAGCAATAGCAAAACCAACAACCTAACCCAATCAAAAAATAGGCAAAAAGCCTGAATGGATACCTCAACAAAGAAAATAAACACATAGCAAATAAGCATATTAAAAGATACTCAACATCATATGTCTTTAGGGAAAAAAACAAAAATGAGATATCACTGCACGCCCTTCCTTAAAGATATTCCTAGGTATTTTGTTTTCTTTGTTGCTATTGTGAAGGATATTGAGTCTTTGATTTTGTTCTCAGTTTGACTGTTGTTGGAAAACTGCTCTAAAAAATACATATTTTAAAACTGTGTCTTTAAGTAACACTTATATGGGCATTTATGTTCACCATTTTCCTTAGGCAACAGGAACTCCATGTTCTGCTTAGTCAAACAACTCTAATCTTCTGGACCAGACCTGGAGCATTGCACAGTCCTAAATTCCCATGTGCATGTAGTTCATATAGTTCATACTTGGCCATGAAGATTTAGTGGCTTAGTAGTTGAAAATGTCATGACCAGCAGGATTACCACAAATTTATTGTTTTCCATCTTCTGCTTCCCAGTCAGAAAATAATCATCAATTTTACAACTATTCATTTTAAATATGCCCTCTGGTATCTCTCACATTCTTCACATAAGATATATTTATTGGTTTTTCTTAAAATCCTACGTAGACCAAATATAATACATAAAAGGAAACCTGACATTTATCTAGTTCCTATATTTTTGCTTAGGAAAATGAGGTCTAAGAAAGTAAGTGACATGTTCAAGGTCACATAGAGATTTAAAGGTAGAAATGGAAACAAAATATGACTCCCAGTTCAGGATCTCTTTAAACGATGATCTCAC